TTTTTATATGTTCTCCGCGTTTTACGCGGGTCATAATCTAGTTCTTGTATTATAACCAGAGTCTCTTGTAGGGAGAGCGTGATACTTGTGTATAGATCTATATTGGGACTGACAATCCCACACCTAAGTTGCATGCAACAGCTAGACCAGCAGGTCTGGGGTGACAAATGTCATAACATTGCCGACGCCTGAAGAATGTCGTAACAGGCCATCTATGTCATTAGCACGGTTATAATAACTCACTTAGGGAAACAACGATACATATAGTTTACGGGGAATTTCTACATTCAAACGGTTTTAATCACTTTAAAACTGCATATACTATCATAAGTGTGGAAAAATACTTGTACATTCGGCCTTTGGTTTTTAAGACCGCAACTCATTTAACAAGGAAAATATTGGATTTTTCTGGAACAAACGCTACTTTTACAAAGAAAGGATTTCAACTCCACATACAAAAGCTTATGAACTCACCAACTTAATTGTTGACACTCTTTCAAAATTACTTGTATTCTCAGGTAATCATTAAAACATGTAACTACCAAGCTTTTGAGGATGGGACAAATCATTTTATCATTATATTGTAATCGATTTTGAAACATGTAACTCATGAAACCATGTAACTTTTTCGATTATATTTATGATGGTTGTGTTTACTTTGGTCACTATTATACTCGTTGTTATGATACTATACATGAAGTCATCCCACCCCCGGACGTTTCAACCATCTTAGGTTTGGGGGTGTGACAAGTCATGCGTGTATTTCAAAGCTAGTGGGAGTATAGTGACTTTCCTAGTATTGTATGTTGATGACATACTCCTTATGGGAAACAACATTCTGACGTTGCAATAAGTAAAATATTGGCTCAGGAAGTGTTTCACCACGAAGGATCTAGGGAAGCTGCTTAAATTCTTGGGATAAGAATTCTGAGAGATAGAAAGAAAAGACTTATTGGTCTTAGTCAAAGTACTTACTTGGATAAAGTACTGAAACGTTTTAGTATGGAAAATTCCATGAAAGGGGAACTGCCTATTCATAGTAATGCCAAGTTGAGTAAGACTCAAAGCCTTAATACAAATGAAGAGTTAGCTGACATGAGTCGAGTCCCATATGCTTCGGTTGTAGGATCGATCATGTATGTTATGACATGTACTCACCCTGATGTGTCTTATGCCTTGAGCATGGTTAGCCATTTTCAAAGCAATCCTGGTAGAGCTCATTGGACTACAGTAAAGAACATACTTAATTATCTGTGAATGATGAAGGATATGATTTTTGTCCTTGGTGGCAGTGATACGTTAAGAGTAACTAGATATAGTGACACCAGCTTTCAGACAGACCAAAACAACTTTTGTTCTCAGTAGGCCTGGTATTTGTATTAAATGGTGGAGCAGTAACTTGGAAGAGTTCAAAGCAGGATATGGTAGCTGATTCTACTTGTAAATCAGAGTACATCGCAGCAAATGAAGCATCAAAGGAGGTGGCTTGGTTGATCCAAGCATATCAACAGAAAGTTTACTGTGATAATGAAGGCATTGGAACTGTACTATTATAATGAAGGCGCGGTTGTTGTGATAATGAAGGTGTGGTTGCTTTTGAGGAGCCATTGGAGATCTCGGATTAGTCCTGACCATTCAGGAGCCATTGGAAATTTACTGTGATAATGAAGGTGCGGTTGCTTTGACCAAAGAACCCAAGGATCATGGTAGATCCAAGCATATCGACAGAAAGTATCATTACATCAGACATAGAGTTGAAGAAGGTCATCTGTTAATGAAGAGAGTATCCTTAGATGATAATCATGCAGATCCTTTCACGAAGGCTCTAAGTAGGGTTAAGCATAACCAACATGCTAGGAGCATAGGCTTGAGAGATGATATAAGTTTTAGTAGTCAGTTGATATTTTGAAACTTGTAACAAAATAAATGTAATTGATTTTGGTGATTAAGTAATAGAGATTATTTATGAGTATAGTTACTACCTTTTACGATTATTTATTCTTGTGTTTCGTTTCGTATGTTTTACTTCCCGAATGATTTGATTATTTGAAAATCCATAGTAGCTCATACTTTTGGAAGTAAGTAGTGAATGAAGACTATCATGAATAGATTGTAGATTGTCTATGGAGATTAGACATTGCAACGGTTGCTACAATATTCATGAGTACTTAGAAAAATAGAGGTTTTGAGTATTGGATAAACCCACTCTCAGAGAATTACTTCATGGATTATATCACGAGTAATTTTAAGATGATAACATCTTATATTCTTAAAATGGAGATATATGAGTTGTAATTTACAAGTCAGTTGTGCATTGATGTTACGTAAACGTATCAGTAACATGATGTTATAAAACATAGTGTCATGCATGATTTGGTGAGTAAAGAATACAAGCATATGAGTCAAAATTTATTCGTTCCTTTTTCCCTAACAGGAAAAGCGATATCTTTGGGCCCCACGGTGATTTGGTGTTGACATTAAAGTGATGGGCCCAACTAGGACTAAATTTATGTGTTCAATTAGTAAGTCTTATGAGGTCATCATAAATCGGGAAATCGGGAAACAAAATTTTGGACAAGAGATTGATTATAATCCATGTCTCATGTCTATATGATATCTTGTAGAACGAAGAGATATTTGATCACTCATCTTAAGACCGATGTCTGATTAGATCAGAGACATGAGTTGTTTTGTGAAGCACCATTTGCTATTAGTTTAGAAGTTGTAATTGATGGGTTTTGAGCATTACAACATTCCTATGGTGCACATGCAACCCTAATTGCTTTGGATCTAGGTTTTTCTCAAGTTATACATACATAATAATTTTCCAAAGCAAACCCTAAAACCCTTTATGAATTTAGAAAATAGTAGAGTACTCCTAGGGTTCTTGATGTTCAATTGTTTGTTGCAAATCAATAGTGAAAACATAGATCCATTAGGTTGCATGTGAACTTAGGGTTAACTTTTTTCCGACACATCTTTTTTTGTAACCTATAAAACCTATCAAGATGTTCATCGATGATGCTCATGGAAGATGCTCATCGATGATGCTCATGGAAGATGCTCATGTTCGATGCTCATGAGGTTGAAGATTCAAGAAGCTACTGCATGGTAGATTGTTATTAGTTGATTCCATTCATGGGCTTAAGGGCCAATGGGCTTGGTCCATTAGGGTATTAGGTATGATTTCTTCACTATAAATAGGGATGTCTACTAGTCATTTGTTTGTGTCTTTGTTTCTAAAGTGATAAGCGAATCTCTGTTGAATTGTACTTGTAATCTCTGTTAGAGAGCTAATAAATAAAGAATACTCCCTTCCTGCCTGTGGACGTAGGTCACCTTGACCGAACCACGTAAATATTGTGTCTTATGTGCTTTTGTTCTTGCTTTTTCCGCTTTACTTCCTAACACCTATGCTATTGTAAATGATTATATGAGTAATGATAATGTGGAATGTGAAAACTAAAAAGAAAGTAAAAAGGCATAATGAAAACTGTTCAGACCATGATACCTCATAAGAGGCCTAGAGGAATCTACTGGGGTGGTATCTTCCTTTCATGAAGTAGATGTCCTATTATGATACATTGGTTGACTGATTTGGTTCTGTTCACCTTGACCAGTTATATTATGATACCTTGTTGGAATGATTTGATTCTTTTCACCTTGGCCAGTTATAGCATGATACATTGGTGGATTGATTTGTTCTTTCCACATTGACCTTGGAAATGGAAAAGAAATTTAATGATATGATGAGATATGATATTTTATGTTATGTAAGGAATGAATTTCTTTGAAAATGCTTTGAAATGTTTTATGGTCTAAAACCCACGTGACTCACGAGCCATTATTGTCTTACGTATCTATTTTAAATGACATGTATCTTAGGTTACACTTAAAGAGAAAAGATGATAGATGAAAGTTAGAAGTTAAGAAATAGAGAATGAAGTGGAGCTTGTCAAGTTCCTTATTAATGATATTGATGAAATTCATATTTGTTTGTTATGGTTTGTATTGATGCTTAACGGTAACACCCAATGTTTTAATTGTTAATGTGTTTATGAGACCAAGTTTTTAGTAAATATAGGTTAATTCCTGAAAAGATTTTATAACCATAGCTTCCAAAAAATTTGAAAAAATTTGGGATATTACAATTTTAACATTTAGAATTTAGAAACTAGGGTGACTGGTAAGCATAAGTGGGTACCCGCACTTATTGTCTGGAACCGGAACCATCGGTTCTTGAAACTTTGGAATCGAAACCGAAACCGATTATACTGGTTTCTTATTTTGGAACCAAAACCGAAATCGGAACCGTCGAGACCGGTTCTAATACCGAATACTAGGTCTCTAATTTTGTTCATAAAATTCAGTCATTACAAACTTTAAAACTAAACAATTTATTATCAATTAAAAAAATATTTGTGAGTGTTTATTAGCAAGTATTATTAATCGACAAACATAACAAATTGAAATTTGAGTTTAGTATTATTCTTGCATTCGTTATACTTTTTTTTTGGCAGTTCAAGTCCCTATATTTTCTAGTTTTCAATTTTGTTTCCCAAACAACTCCCACTTCAAAGAAGTCTTTATGACTTCTAACTTAACCCAACTATATAAGTTAACTTAACAAATTTAATCTAATTCTAATTTATTAAGTTAAGTCAAAGTCATACTTAATTTCCATAATTGACAAGATTGGCCCTTTAACATTCAAATTCAATTGGTTAAATTAGAAAATATATTCATGAATGGTTAAACCAAAACATAGACAGACTATGGTTGTATGTAATTCATTTGTCCAGTTAATTATCTTATTAATTATAAAAGTTAATTCTAAAGTTTCCACTACAAACCAACATTGATATTGGAATCCAGGGCAAGTAGCTACATTATTACTTCAACATCCCAAAAAGGTGTCACTAAAGTGGTGTTTGATGTAAGTAGGTTCAAATAACAAAAGATTGTGACAATAGTCCTTCGATTGGTACTATAAACATACGTTATTTGGGTTCAATTTTTGCCGTGATATTGTATCCACCACTATAGTCAAATACATCACTAGTATTCCTTTTAAGCTCACCTTCATTATAAGGATGCTTAGGAGCACCTCCAACTGATCCTAATGATGATGCCGAATCTGAATTTGTGCGGAGTCCATCACTTGTTAAAATGGACTCAAGTGCTTTCACAACATTGCTCATCGTTGGACGATCTGCAGCTGATTCTTCCACACATTGCATCGCTAGCTGTATAAACCTCCCAAAACCAATCAAGAATGTTGTGTCTTTGAGATTAGGATCAATTATTTCCCTCAACCCATATTCCTCTTCATCAGTTTTGTCCATGGCTAGTCTCACCTCGCGCACAATGTACTTACCTTTTACAATTGGTTGTTTAGCGGTTATTAGTTCAAGCATCACCACCCCAAAACTGTATACATCGCTCTTATCGGTCAATTGTTGTGTCATGTAGTATTCGGGATCGAGATATCCCTGTAAACATATAGAAATGTTAGAGGTGAATAATACTAGAAAATCTAGCATCATCAACAAAATTTAGTGATGGATTCAGTGGTAATAGACAATTGGCAACAAATTTTAATAGCTAAAATAAGAGACCGGATTAGCGCTGGATTAACTTGAATTTTCAAGATTTCATCAGTTTTATGATGTAGCAACAGTTAGCGATGGATTTAATTCGGTCATTATAACACAAGCACAGATTAGCATCAAATTTGAAGTCTGTCACTAGTTTTATGACGTAACTACAGTTTGTTAAAAAAGTGAATCAGTTATATTAAAACCGTCAATACTGTAGTCCATCGTTAAACTGTCACTACATTTTGTCAATCTGTCTTTACTTTTGTCACTAATTTATTGCTAATATTCCTATATAAGCATACAAATACACACATACGTATGCATACTACATATACATACTCCTTATCATTTCACAAAGGCGCTAAAAAGAGTTTTGAAAAATGGTAACATACCAGGGTACCCTTAACTTGAGTGGACACATGACCTTTTTCGCTGTCAGAGACTAGCTTTGACAACCCGAAATCTGCAACTTTTGCAGTGAGATTTTCGTCTAAGAGTATATTAGTCGATTTAATGTCTCTATGAATTATAGGGGGATCTGCCAGCTCGTGTAGATAAGCTATTCCTTTAGCTGAACCAAGAGCGATGCGAAGTCTCCTCTTCCAGTCTAGATGAATTCCTGATTTCCCTGCAATGAGTTTTATTTATGGGTGAGAATGCATATGTTAGCAAAAACTAATTTAGAACAACTCCAACCCATTCTCATTCTCTATATTTTCCTCTATTTTTTCCCCCATTTTTCTCTAACCCTACCCCATTTATTCTCCCATTTTGGAGGATATGAATAATATTACACCAAATATGATGTAATATTATTCGTTACTCCCAAAATACGGATATACTTTGAGTTGTCGGTTTTAAACCTTTTTTTATATATTTATACATTTCAAGTTTATTTTTATCTACTAATTATAATTTAAATATAATATTTAATATTTATAATATTTTGTTATAAATTAAATTATATTAATTAGTTATAAATATAAGGTTTTTTTTGTATCAAATTCATATAAAAATTTAAATACATATTGAAATTTATAAAAACGATAATGTATATTACATGTATAATATTTATTTAAAAGTGTGTATGTAATATTTATATAAATGTATGTATAATATGAATTTAAAAGTTTGTATGTGTAATATTTCTATAAATGCATGTGTATTATTTATTTATAAGTGTGTTATAAATATAATCTTATTTATTTAATATTATTGTAATGAAAAAAAAATATAGATTATATATTTGTTCAAACCAAATTAGTAGAAAGGGTGTGTTTGACAATCAATGTAAGTTGGAAGTATGAAATAAACTAGGAATATATTTTTTGGGGTAAAAAATGAGGTAGTGTTGGAGATGAAAAACTATTTACCTTGTTTTTTACTCCATTTTTAGGAAAAAAAAAATGGAAGTAGGTTGTGGAGATGGTCTTACAAATGTACATTTAACATACAAGATATGGTTTAGTTTGTTTTTTTTTCGGTTTTACACCAAAAAACCAGTCATGTTTTTAGAAACAAAAAAACTAACTACCAGTTTTTCAAAACAGTTTGATTTTTGATTACCTGACAAGCTTTCTCTAAGGGTTCCTTTGGACATAAACTCGTATACCAACATCTGCTCTCCTTGTTCAAAACAAAACCCGACTAGCCCAACCAGATTCTTATGATGGACTCTTGAAAGCAACTCGATTTCTGTCTTGAATTCGAGCCCGCCTTGCATGGATCCTTGTTGAGCTCTTTTAATTGCAACCATTTGCCCTCCTGGGATCACTCCTCTATAAACCTATCAAAATAAGTCATGAAAATGGATCACAACCTCACCAAAAACATGATTAAATGAGTAAATATCATTTCAAAAGTTTGGTTTTCAAGGTGTATGTGTAAAGTATTAGAAAAAAATTACGCATCAGATTGCAACGAATTAATCCATCACTAAAAATGGACCATTGGCGACGATTTAATAAAAATTTGTGTGTTTTATTTGAGCTTGTATATCTATACCTTCCCGTAACCACCGGATCCTATTTGATTAATCTCAGAGAAGTTTTTTGTACTTTTCTTGAGTTCATCATAAGAGAACCATCTAGCTCCCTTCAACTGTGGTGCACCTCCTCCACTATCTTTAGCACTTGGAGCCCATGATCCTGTTCAAAAAAGTTAAAATTAGCCATTGACAAGATGTAATATTGGTGAAAACCTAACCAGAATCTAGTATAGATGATGAACACTAGCAAATCAACAAGAAATTACCAAAAGGTTTGCTTAGAGTTATTGCTCTTTCAGCACGTTTCTTTTGTTGAACAGCATAGAACACAAGCCCGATAAGCACTAGAATCAAAAGGGTGCAACCAATTGAGATCCCAATCACACCACCAACTCCAATACTTCCTCCACGGCCATCTAAGACACATTATAACTTAAACATTTAGTGGGTGGTTGATTCGTAGAATGTTTTTGGAATGAAAGGAATTTAATCAAAGAAACTGGAATATGAAGGAATTGAAATATGAAACTAATCATAATCTTTTGTGTGTTTGGTTGGAAGAAATAGAATGAATTCAATAATTTTTAAAATTTCTAGTTTGTTTAAATATATTATGTTTATTGTTAAGATACATAGGTGAAATTTGAACTTTTATCTATTAAAATACATCAAACATGGAATGTGAAGGATTGAGACGGAATGGAATTCCGTCCATTTCACCACCAAACACATCAATAAATGGAATCTCTACTTCCAATTCCTTCAAAAATCCTCCATGAAACAAAAACTCCCTCAGCATTTTTGCACTTTTTAAACATAATGTCGCTAAAAAGGCCTGATAATTTTTGATAATTAGCAACAGAAAGGAATTTCCGTTGCTAGTTTGTTTAAAAGGCGACAAAAAAAAAAGCATTTAGCAACACATTAACAAAGAAGATTCTCCATTTTCAAGTAATGTAAATATTTATGATGTAAACTTTAAACATCATTCACCTGGAAACGAATAAGGTGATGCAATAAAATAATATGGTCCGAATCCAGCTGGAGGCTTGTATGTTTGATTACTCAAGAAAAACCCCATCATTTGGACCTCTGATCGCGTAAAATGCTTATCCTTTGATGGGAAGAATCCAACATGCACTTGAAGATAATCATCAGTATTAAAGAAAGGATTTTGTAGTGAAACCGAGTCCTCAGTGAGGCCTAATTTTGTCCAAAGGCTTGTTTCTAGCAAATGCCATATGGTAACATTAGATAAATCCCTAAACGATGGTGCCCTGAAGAAAATTGTGCCTTCATATGGATAAGCACAGTTACAATTTTGAGGGCTCAGTTTTGAATCGTGTCGACACAATTTACTCCCACAATCAGCCGAGCTTGTAGAGTATGAGTTTCTCAGTGTTTGAAGTTGGCAATACGTAGAGTTCTCAAGCGTAGTATCGCAAACGGGGTTCCCATAGAGTCTTAAAATTTCACAAAAACAGAAGATAAATATTGTCTCAAAAAATTAGAAAAAAAAGAGTTTTAGCGACGAATGAATCTATCACTAAATCCGCTTCAGTCGTTTAGTGACTGATTAGTGCCAATCTTGTTGCTTATATTTTCTATTGATTGATGTTTATATTAAAAAATCGTTCTTACTCGAGTGTGTTCTTGTATTGGCTACTGAGTGTTACATTGTCAATCTTATTGCTTTGCAAATCGACAAGTTGTAATTGACCGCTGATGTTGTCGCCCATATTGAACGTGTCATTGAAAAGATTGTTCTTCAATTTCCTATTCAATGGTATCAAGGATAAAAACTTTTAAGATTTTCTAGCTATTATTATCATAAAAAAATAAAACTGTTCCATATATTGTTCCATGAACAAACATACATATTGACTTTTAACGTGAAACAATTAATTTTCAACTTAAAAAGCCACTACATGTAAGAGATGGTCCGTGCCAAATTGGTCAGGTAAGCTGTAAGGATTTGAGTTCAACCATCTTTCTGTTTGACCTATAAAGTCAAAATGTATTTCTTTCCGAGAACATAAGGAGTAATGCAAACCGGATCTTACACTTGTTGAATTCCTGATAAACCGAAAAGGGCCTGTGGAAGATTTCCTTGAAGTGATCCAAATTCCATAACGCTGATCACGAAGTAAAGAAATAATCGTAAGATAATTTTTCATGAGGAAAAGAAGTCGGTAATTATACCGCATTGAAAAGTCCTAAATGAAAGAAATAGCAACATACTTTCATTTATCTATGTAGCATATATAGTATCCTACTTTCTTTCTAACCATAACAAAAATGTACGTATTTTCAAAATGTTTTCTAATTAAAACTTTGTACTTTGAAATATCTAGCTCATTATAGCATTATATTTTCATTATTTTTTTTTCTTATTAGAACATTATATTTTGAAAAAATTTATCCAATTATAGCAGTAAAAAAAAATTTCTCTATGGATAACAGTGCTATAAATGAGTAGATTTTTCAAACTACGATGTTTATAATAAAGAAGAAATGAAAATAGAATGCTATAATAAACAAATTAATGAAAGGATATTGTTATTTCTTGCATTTAACCCTATAATTTGAAAACTTACAGTGTGCCTAAAGAAGGTAGTGTAGAAAACCAACGTGGAGGGTCTGATGCTTGAAATGAATTGTTGCTCAAGTCCCTGAATAAGTGTCACAAAAAGTCAGATCGTTGTTATCCAACATTAAAACTTCAAAGGAAGTTGTTGGTTTTGATAATTTTCTTACACATAGGTGAGTGAATTCATCCCCGTTAGATCTGGCAAAGCTCCTTTTAGATTGTTGTAGGCTAGATTTCTATATGTAGGTGATCAAGCAAGAACGAAAAGTTAAAGTCAAGGTCCATAACTGATTTCATGGATATGATCTTTTTATGATTATACAAAGATGTGTACTCACAATTCACCAAGACTTGTGAGGTTGTTTAGGTTTGGTGGTACTTCACCTTCCAAGGCGTTTCGATCGAGTCGACTGTTGCAATTAAAGCATGAAATAACATGAGCATAACTTATGCATATTCGAGGCAGTTCTTGTACTACTTAGTTTATACAGGAAGATGGACAAATGCAAAGATTCGGAGAATTTAGAGTTGCAACAGATTCGCTAAAGAAGTCTGGTCAATTTAGCCAAGAACTGTTAAAAATGATAAAAAGGTCGAGCTTTTTGCTACCAAAGTTCCATAAGCAACAGAACTTTGATGCTTTGGTATTTTCATCGAAAAATACCAAAGAATGTTTTTTTACAATGCTTCGTATTATTTAGAATATGTACTTACAGGGCCTCAAGGGTCTTGACATATCCAAGTGTAATGGGGATTTCTCCGATTAACTGGTTCCCATCGAAAAGTCTGTGATTGCAACATCGAAAACATTCATTCATTCAGAACATGATCATTAACCAGAAAATAATCCGCATGTACAATTTCGTTCAACTTACACATGTATTAGAACCATGTCGGAGCTGAAAAGTTGGGAAGGAATTCCTCCTGATAGCTTGTTCTTATTGAAATGGCTGCCAATTTACAAACATGATCAGTCGAACATTTTCACCAAATAAAGCAAGAAAGAAAACCAAAACGACGTCGACTCACAAATGTTTACAATGTTTTAGCATATCCAACCCCGGATTCGTGAGAGTGGAAACTGGAAGTGATCCCGTCAGTTGATTCTCCGAGATGTCCAACCAGTAAAGTTCCGATAAATATCCCAACGATGGTGGAATCTGACCAGTCAAGTTGTTTGTGTTCAAAGCCCTATATACATCGATCGATCATGTATGGATCATATTATTTACGTCAAGAAGTTAAAACATATCGATCAAGATCATTAATGTTTCAAAGATTCTTACAGAAAAGATAGCTTCTTGAGGTTTCCAAGTTCAGATGGAATGTTACCGGTGAAGCTACACCCAGATAGAATCCTAAAACCAGTAATTATGCGTATGAAATAATCTTAATTAGTACGTATTATATGTTTCTAAGTTCAGATGGAAGAAACAATTTATAAACTTACAGTGTGTCAAGATTTCCGAGGTCTCCTACCCTTGGAGAGATCTGACCTGTTAGTCCGCCATTAAACGATAAGTCCCTGGCGTGAACATCAGAATATTATCAATGCCTCTTGATCGTTAGAAATCCAATGTATACATCAAACAACGTATGGCAATTGTCATAATCATAAAAAAAGTTATGAACTCACAACGATGTTAGTTCAGAGAGGCCACCGATGTCACCAACGAGTTGACCTACTAAGCTCATACTCGACAAGCCCCTAGAAACAAAGTCCAACAGTTAAAAGGCTTGCAATACGTACATTGGTTTTGTTAGGGTTTCTTAGTGTATATATCAACTTACGTTGTTTCGATCATATATGCTATTTAATGGGTTGTATTTACATCTTGATGAATATTGGGTTGTATATAACTTATAAGGTTTCAGTTTATGTTTGTGATAAAGATGAGAATAATAGAACCAAGATGAGGGAAAGTAGACAGACAGTCCAATCACCCTGGTGTCTGTACAGTTGACACCTTCCCACGAACATGGATCATTCGACCTTTTCCAGCTTGGTGGCGTATTTTGCCATTGGTCTTTCAACGCTCGGAGCACCTCCGCTGGGTGGCAATAAGCAGTCATCATGATCAGTTAATTAATGAAAACATGGTTGCCGGAAAATGTGGTTAAAGATTAAACCACGTATCACACCATATCTTGCACTTACCATCACCGGGATTAGTATCAGCAAAGATCACCTTAACTTCCAAGATGAAAAGAAACATACAACACCACAACAACTGCCATACTTTGACTTCCATGGACGAAAAAACTCGACCGCAAGTTTAACAATTTCTTTGTGACTGTGAATCCATGCGATTAATTGATACTATCTTTACGTGACTTCTCTGGCAAGTTATTAAGCGACGAATTAAGAAAGATTTTGTGGTTAAATGATTAAGGTTTTGGTTAGCTTAGATAAGAAGACACATGGAATCCAACAGAAAAACAGGATGATGAATTATTGTCGGCAGTTTGCCACCATTTTAAGCCTGAATAGTTAATTGACAGATGGAAACTGTTGGTGGTTGCTCCGCCTAACCAACATAAATCTCAAGAAACACCTTGTTTTGAAGAATATTTTTTTGGCCGAACAATCATAAACTTTAACGTTTTCTTGTCTTGTTCTTGTTTGGATGAGCACTGGAAAAGGATTTATGGCAACTATTTGTTCTATCGCATTTCAAAAAACTGAATGGTTTTTGGCATCTCACCTCATAGAGTATTGGTTTAATTACGCGGTCTGAAAAAAAAACGGCTCATTGAGTATATGTATGTATATGTAAATCCACCAACACAAGGCCAAGAGAGGAATTAAGGTCCAATCCATGGAATCCACAAACAAAGGCCCAAGAGAGCAATTAGGGTCCCAGCTTGTTTTCGTTATTAAGTAGCAAGAAAAAAAGAGTCAAGAGTCGAGCTTGATTCCTTCTTTTTCAAAGCCTAAAGAGTAAAGCCTTTTTCCTTCTTTTTAGGTTTTTTTTAAGGTTTCTTTGATTTACGTCTTATCGCGGACGTTACCTCTCGGTCTACTAAACTCGATATGATTTATTTTATTACAAGGAAAAAAAATGTTAAAAAAATATTACTAAGGAAATACCGAAGAAAGTTGGGTATTGATAAAGATCCTAGGAAAAACGTAGGAAATACCGATGAAAGTGTAGTTAGTACAACTTTCATAGGAAAAGTGTAGGAACAATGAGTGTATTCTCTACATAAACTCGTATGTTTTTGTTGTTACAAAAAAAAATTGTTAAAAAAAATATTACTAAGGAAATACCGAGGAAAGTTGGGTATTTAAAAATATCCTAGGAAAAGTGTAGGAACTTCCGAGGGATTTCCGAGGAAAGCGCGTTTATGGTTATTCCTAAGAATTTCCTCGGTAATTGGTAGGTAATACCGAGAAATTCATTTTCATCGGAAATATCCGTAGAAAATCCCTCCTTTTTCTAGTAGTGTCCCAAAAAAGAATCTAAATGATAAATAGAACACATATTCCTTTTACAACCCTGTTCGCTTCCTGCCTCCAACTCAAACGAGCTTCACCATTGCCCTCAGCCAAGCCTTCCCCTGCTCAGCCACACTGTCAGCCTCCACCTATCCATACATCAGTACATTCCTCCACCAACGGCGACCATCCCTACAATTCCTACCGTAAGCTTTATTTAATCTGTTTTTTTCTTATATGTATTTGCATAAATAGAAATTGTTTGTTATCTATGTGTATGAAATATGATGTGTATGAATTTTGATGTCGATTCCCTTTCTTTCGTTCTCATGTCGTCAGCCCCTTTCTCTCGTTCTCAGCATGTTGTCATTTTCTCCTTATTTCCATGCATTAGAATAGAGCTTAGTTGCATATTTAATTTCATGTAATTGCATTGTTGAGATATATCCAAAAAAATTGCCCCAATCACTTTTGTCTTTTATCTTGAGTTTTTGGGAGATGAACCTGTAACATTCGTAATTTGGTATGTTTCATTTTAGCCCCTTAATGCAAAAACCTTATCAATTTGGTCCTTAGCTAGTACGCGGGGCGTCCTTTATGAGTACGCTTAGCGTACTAGCTCTTTTCTGGACGCGGGATTCACCCACGTACGGGGGGCGTACGTGGTGCAGGGGCAAACCCTAAAAATTAGAGTTTGCACCCTATTTAAGCAACTTATACCACCGTTGGACATTCTATTGATCAACCTCCAATACTCTTTACCCTAAAAACGAAACCCTAAGTGCTTTTGGTGAGTTTTAAGCTTGAAAGTGAGATTTGGTGGTGTTTTTAGTGAAGAAGAAGAAGAACACTTGGTGGTTGCTTGGGAGTAGCTTGGGCTTGTAGATCCAGGGTCATATTTATCTTAGCAAGCCATTTGAGGTAAATAGCTTCCATCTTGATGATTCTTTATGTTAGATCCAACTTAGGGTGTCATTTATGCATTTTTGGGTCTTTTGAGCTAAAGTTAAGCTTAGGATCTACTCCAGAAGCCATGGATGTTATATCTTAGCTCCATTGAGGTCCCTTGTCCATAAAATGTAATCTTTATGGAGATATTGGTCCATGCAAGTGGTAAGGTTTTTATTAAGCTTCTTTTTTAGTGTTGGGCCCCATTAAGCCATGCATGGGTGTAAAGTTGTCAACTTTACGTGTTAAGTCACCTTCTAGAATCAGATCTGAGAGTTTGGCATGTTTTCTTAACCGAATAAGTGCTTAATGGAGTTGATTGGTAATCAGGGGATTACGCGGGGCATACCCAGCTAGTACGTTGCGCGTAGGGGTGTAAACGAGTCGAGCCGAGCCCGAGCCTAACCAAGCTCGAGCTCGAGCTCGATTCGAGCCTTAAAATGAAGCTCGAGCTCGGATCGTGAACAATTTAGTGAGCTCGCGAGCCTAAATGAGCTAAAACGAGCCCATATATAGGCTCGTTTAGGCTCGCGAGCCCACTAATTGAAGCTCGGCTCGAGCTCATTTAATAAACGAGCCTCGTATTTAGGCTCGAGCTCGGCTCGGGCTAGTTTAATTCGATCTCGAGTCGATCCCGAGTAGCTCGGCTCACTTACACCCCTAGCTACGCGTACTGTCCTTGGAAGGAGCACGCTAAGTGTACGAGTTGAGTACGCCCCATGTACGCAGTTGATTGACCTTCTGTTTGACTTCCTTGGGTTTGGGCCATATTTTGGGCTTTTAGGGTTTTGGCCTTATTGTTCCATTAGACTTCTGACTTTGGGCCATGGATAGACTATGTACTTTCTTGGGATTAGGTCCATGATTTTTGGGCCTAATTTGGAAGTTGGGCCTTGTGATGCCATTTAGGAATTTGGACCTTTTGAGCAAATAGGTTGGGCCTTGGTTTTGGAGCGAGTAAGAAAAAAGGTAAAACGGTCTTTTACCCTGGATATTGGATAAGTAGCTTAGATTCTTGATTATGGGTCAAATCCAATTATTAATTGGATATTATTTGATGATGTTAGCGCGGGGATTTTCCGGACCAACAGACCGAGATTTATTTGAGAGATTCAGCAGCTAGATGTGTGTTTCTTCACTGTGTTTAGCGGGTTGAAGGCACCAATGTCAGCCCATGGTTTGTTATGTTTAGGACGCTAATTGGCCGCAGACTCATCCAAACTACCCATCCATCCATCAACTGCCACACGACCCTCCATTGGTTCCAGTTAACTATTGCATGAATACAATCACATGCCGCACGGCTTAAACAATCTTAGACTAAAAGATTTAATCCTACAACGGTTGGACTCAGACAAGAGTTGCGCAGCAGGACCAAATCTCTTACCCTAAGACCATTTAACCCATGTAGCATGTGACCTAGAGTATTCACCCAATAGTTAGTTCACACACGAAAGAGTCACAAACAATCAATGAGGTACTTTACATAAGATAAGGCATCAAAGATCAGGCAATTCTATCATACGATTCCTGAGGATCCCTATCTTAGTACTAGCATGCTGTTCTAACATTTTACATAATATCAAATAACTTGTACGGTATTTTGGGGTCTACTTAGTGATGGGTTTTGGGTAAAACAAATAAACTAGAAAACAATTCCTAAGTTCACATGCAACCTACTTTGGATCTATGTTTTAACTATTGAACATATAACTTTGAATTGCAAAACAAGAACCCTAAGGAGAGAGGCTATTTTCGAAAATAACTAATTAGGGTTTAAGAGTTACATATCTTTCAATTGTTATAGCAAACAATTGAAAATCCTCTTGATCTTGATCTTCTTGGAAGCTTAGCACCACAAATCTAATGCCTCTAATGGAATCACACCCAAGAGCTAGCAAGAAGGAAACTTATAAGGAGAGAGGGTAGGGTATGCAAAAAATCGGCCTAGGGTTTCTTCCAAGGTAGGAGTGGCCGATTTTAGGAGTTGGGAGGCTCTTTATATAGTTGAGGGATCTAGGGTTTAGGGAAAACCCTAATACTCCTTTGCTTGGGGCCTAAGTTAATCCAAAGGCCT